CGGCAAGTGAAGCAGCCCGATTTTTCGTAGAGATTGTGTTGCTGAGGTATGGCGCTCTATCAGTGGTAATAACTGACAGGGGAACTGCATTCGCAGACGAACTATTACAGACAGTCTTAAGACCTAGTGGCACAACCCACTGGCGAACATTGGCGTATCATCCGCAAGCAAATAGTCTTACGGGGCGTCTAAACAAGACATTTGCAGATATGCTCTGCGTGTACGTCGATGTGGAGCATAAAAACTGGAACGAGATCTTGCCGTATGTCACGTTCGCTTATAATACGGCTCATCTAGAAACAACCAGAACAACGCCATTCCGCCTACTTCATGGTCGTGAAGTCACCACCATGCTGGATGCTATGCTGCCGCACGAGTGCGAATATGCTGAAACAGATGCTGATTATATCACTCAGCTTGCCGAAGAAGCCCAACAACTTGAACGCCTACGTATTAGTCGCCAGCAGGACAACGATTCAAGACGGTACAACCTTCGTCAGCGACCAGTCTCCTATGAGCCAAGAGAGAAAGTTTGAATATGGACACCTATTCGGCGCCGTGGTCTTTTAGAAAAACTGTTAAGACGGTCCTGCGGTTCCTATAAAATTCTGTAACGTCTCAGTGACATTAATTATGAGGTTGTTCCTGATACTGCGCACTCTTCAAGGCGTCGAAGGTATGCTCCAGTAGTTGTGCACGTGGTACGCATGAAGCCTTATTTCTCCGAATGAACTCATGCGTTTCCAACGAGTACAAACCGCTTTTATTACAAAGCATCGGGACGTTGTTTTCTTGAATGGGAGGCTAAGGTCACGGCTAAAGGCTGGGCAAGAAGACACAGGACGACGAAGTGATGAGCGTGGACGTCACCCACGGTTCCTCCGAGGAAGAAGAAGTCGAAGCGGCTGCTCTTATGTTCTGGTAATACAGAACTCGTTTTTTCTGGTCGCACCATCGTCCTGTATTCTGTTATTTTCACCTAGCGACTATATATATATATATATATATATATATATATATATATATATATATATATATATATAAATATATCTATATATACATGTATATATATATATATATATATTGTACGCATTTGTTAAGCACATACACTTTTTTCTCAGATGTTCATCATCATGAGTGGTCGTTATCTGCATCGGCTGTGGGAACTTGGCTTGCATCGGTTCTGTGCCTCAGGTGCTGTCGCTTCATCGTGTCTTCTGGGCATAGTGAATGTTGCCTTCACCGTTGCATCACAATATATATATATATATATATATATATATATATATATATATATATATATATATATATATATATATATATATATATATATATATATATATATATATATATATATATATATATATATATATATATATATATATACATGGCAACATAGAGGAATACTATAGCATTATTGAAAGCGTGCTAGGTATCGTATTTAAACTGAATAAAAGATACAAGATGATGGTAGTACAGGCTTACGCGCCAACATCCAGCCATGATGACGCTTCAGTTGAAAGCTTCTATGAAGATGTCGAATCGTCAATAGGTAAGGTAAAAACACAGTATACTATAGTGATGGGGGACTTTAATGGAAAGGTAGAGAAGAAGCAGGCTGCAGACCAGGCAGTAGGAGATTATGGCATCGGTACTGGAAACGCCAGAGGAGAGCTACTAGTAGAATTCGCAAAACGCAATAATTTACTGAATTTGAATACCTTCTACCGAAAATTAGAAAAACGCAAGTGGACGTGGAGGATCCCTAATGGCGAAAATAAGAACGAAATAGACTTTATAATGAATGCACACCCAGGAATCGTGCAGGATGTGGAAGTTGTTGGCAAGGTACGATGCAGTGACCATAGAATGACACGGTCTCGAATTCGCCTAGACTTGAAGAAGGAACGACAGAAACTGATACGCAAGAAGCCAATCAATGAGATAGCACTGAGAGGGAAAGTACAAGGATTCAGATTGTCGCTGCAAAACAGGTACTCGGCTCTTCGTGAGGAAACCAACCTTAGCGTAGATACAATAAATGCTAATCTGACGAGTATCATTACGGAGTGTGCAGTGGAAATTGGAGGCAGGGTAGTTAGACAGGACACTGGCAAGCTTTCCCGGGAAACGAAGAACCTGATTGAGAAGCGTCAAATCATGAAAGTGTCAAGTACAACAGACAAAATAGAGCTAGCAGAGCTTTCGAAGTTGATTAATAGACGTAAGGTATGCGATGTAAGAAGGTATAACATGGAGAGAATCGAACACGCTCTGAAAATTGGAAGAAGCGTCAAAGCTGTATATGTACATAACACATGCACTTGTATCACTTTTATTTCAATTCTGAATAAATGAAAAAATACATAAAAAATAAAAAAGCAGTGAAGAGGAAACTTGGGATAGGCAAAAGTCGGATGTATGCAGTAAGGGACAAAGAAGGCAAGATAACTACCAATATGGATAGGATAGTTAAAATAGCAGAGGAGTTTTACAGAGATCAGTACAGTAGCCGAGACAACCACGACCTTAATACTATAATAACTTGCAGTAACCCAAATGACACACCACCAGTAATGATAGAAGTCAGAAAAGCTTTGGAGAGCATGCAAAGAGGCAAAGCTGCTGGTGAGGATCAGATAATATCAGATCTGCTAAAAGATGAAGGATAGATTGTGTTAGAAAAACTAGCCACCCTGTTTATGAGGTGTCTCCTGATGGGAAGTGTACCAGAGTCTTGGAAGAACGCTAACATCGTCTTAACACATATGAAAGGAGATGACAAGGACTTGAAAAATTAGAGGCCGATCAGCTTGCTCTCTGTAGTATACAAGCTATTTACCAAGTTAATTGCGAACAGAGTAAAGAAAACATTAGAATTCAATCAACCAAAGGAACAAGCAGGATTTCGAACAGGCTACTCAACAATCGACCACATTCATACTATCAATCAGGTAACAGAGTAATGCTCAGAATATAACCAACCACTATACATAGCCTTGATAGATTACGAGAAGGCGTTGGATTCAGTAGAAATATCAGCCGTCATGCAGACACTGCGGAATCAGGGCGTTGAAGTATATATAAACACTCTGGAAGAAATCTCCAGGCCATCAACTGCTACTATAGTGCTTCATAAAGAAAGCAACAGAATACCAATCAAGAAGGGTGTAAGGCATGGGGACACAATCTCCCCAATGCAATTTACCGCGTGCTTGCAGGAGGTTTTCAGACGACTAGAATGGGAACAGTTAGGGATAAGAGTTAATGGAGAATACCTTAGTAACCTGCGCTTCGCCGATGACATCGCATTGCTGAGTAATTCAGGGGACGAATTGCAACTCATGATTATGGAGTTAGACAAGGAGAGCAGAAAGGTGGGTCTTAAAATTATTCTGCAGAAAACGAAAGTGATGTGCAACAACCTCGGAAAGGAGCAGCGCTTCGAGATAGGTAATACTGCACTTGAAGTTGTAAAAGACTATGTCTACTTAGGGCAGGTAATAACCGTGAAGCCGAACCACGAGATTGAAGTAACTAGAAGAATAAGAATTGGGTGGAGCACATTCGGCAAGCACTCTCAAATTAATACATGCAGATTGCCACTATCCCTCAAGAGGAAGGTATATAACAGCTGTATGTTGCCGGTGCTTAGCTACGGAGCAGAAACCTGGAGACTTACAAAGAAGGTTCAGCTTAAATTGAGGACGACGTAGCGATCCATGGAAAGAAAAATGGTAGGTGTAACTTTAAGAGACAAGAAGAGGGCAGAGTGCATTAGGGGACAAACGGGAGTTAAGGATATCATACTTGAAATAAAGAAGAAGAAATGGACATGGGCCGGGCATCCAGCGCGTAGACAGGATAACCGCTGGTCATTAAGAGTAACTAACTGGATTCCCAGAGAAGAGAAGTGGGTTAGAGGGAGACAGAAGGTTAGGTGGGCAGATGAGATTAAGAAGTTTGCGGGTATAAATTGGCAGCAGCAAGCACAGGACTGGGTTACCTGGCGGAACATGGGAGAGGCCTTTGTCCTGCAGTGCACGTAGTAAGGCTGATGATGATGATAATGATGTGTGTGTGTGTGTGTTTTGAGCATATCATTCAACGAAGTTCATATACAAGGGAAGCTCATGTAAACATACTAGCTAAAACGGTCCCAATGCTCGCAGCAGGCAACTGCGACCATTGTGGGCTTCCTCAATCTGTCAGTGTGTTTTGCCTGACAGCATGCGCCACATTATGAAGCTTAAAAGGCTTCGCAATGGGTATTTTCACTTGCTTGTGCTGCGGTTACCCATGTGAGAAGTAGCCGTACTAGAATTTGCTTAGCCGTATTAGTATTTGCTACGTAGAGAACTGTTTGCGCTGTAACGCCCATTGTAGCGGTGACTTCATTGTCTCCACTAAGGGGCTCTCTGCAACGCCGGTGGAAGGAGAGAGAATAAGTGCATGTTTTGCAAGAAAATTGTTGCCATAAAAAACAAATGGTGATTTATTTTGCGTTATTTGTTTCTGTTTATTAGCATCTGCTATTTTTCGTTATTTATTAAAGCGTCTCAAGAGGGTTGTTCATTCGAGATGTAGGGTTATCGCTTAATACCCTTAATATCAGAGACACCACGATCAATAAAGCACCAGAAAAAATAACTTTGATCTTAAAGAAGTCTTCTGATGGATAGCAAGGTTACAGCAGAATTAAGGTGAAACCAAACCAAAGAGTATAAAAGCGGAATTTCTCCCTGGAAAAGAGAAAAATGCATGCTCATTCTGAATAGTTACAGTCTATGGCAGCTCCCTTCGGGTAAAGAGAACAGCACGACAGGAAAAGACACCACAAGTGATGCTCTACAATACAGTATTCAACTAACTAGCTGGTCAAAACATTTTAAGCAAGTTTAAATTATGCCCGAGGGTCCCACGAACATGCGAGAAAATCAGTACGTTTTTGCAATGCCATAAACTGCGTAATTCTATTTTATTTTGCCTGTAATCCTGCGGTTACACCAACCAACCTGGAGTACTCTTCTCAGAAACAGTTTATTCAATAGACGTCTCTTCACTTGAAGCTTCGGTATTGTGGTAATAATCACATGGGTTATCCTTTTTCGTGATGTCGTACATCTCCATGCAGACCAAGCTCATATACTCATAACATATGGTACTCTCATTAACTTCCTTTCTGGATAGTCCCCACAGCAAGCAGAGGTGTTTACCTGGAAATATGAGTGAATCACAAACACTACTCACAAACACAAACACAAGTCAAAGCGGGAGCGTTTTTACCAGTACACGATACTCATATGAGCTATGTTATTCTCAGAAGACACTTATACATTTCTGAAAAGTTACATGCTTCCAGAAGGACACTGCTGAATGTATCTGGCAGTATAGTCGCAAAATATAGCCTTAGGTAAGGTGATACTTTATTCAAGAAGGAAAGTATCAACAGTCGACTCTGCCTAAAAATTGTGGTGGAGGGAGAAAGGGAGGAAGAGAGAGAGAGTAGGTAGTTTCTCTCTTACAATTAGGCCCAAGTGGAATGTGAAATCTGTAGAAGTATCCCTTGGTGAGATTCAACTTCAATTATTGCATGTGATTTGCTTGAGAGTCAAACGTATTGTACTCTACTAAATATCCTTAATGAATTATAATGCCATTTAAATGAAGACAAGTGAATTACGAGAGTGAAATAGGTTTTTTTGTTTCCGAAAGACTGAGCTGGTTAATCTTTATAAAGTGTGAAGGTTGACTATTGACTTCCTGCAAAGGTTTAATGCGCTGACGTCCATATACCGAAATGGAGAGTCAACAATCATCATCCATTTATTATGTCGATAATTTGGTCAGAGTCAATTATGAAGGAGCATTCATTCAATTGCTTGCGTATAATTGTGTTATTATATTGAAATATAAAACAACCATACTGAAGCCCAGCCGCAGTGGTCTAGTGGCTAAGGTACTCAGCTGCTGACCCGCAAGGCGCGGGCTCGAATCCCGGCTGCGGCGGCTGCATATCCGGTGAAGGCGGAAATGTTGTAGGCCTGTGTGCTCAGATTTGCGTGCACGTTGAAGAACCCCAGGTGGTCGAAATCTCTGGAGCCCTCCACTACGGCGTCTATCATAACGATATTGTGGTTTTGGGACGTTAAACCTCACATATCAATCATCAATTTTCAACCGTACTAAAATTCACAAGGAAACAATCGAATATTATGAACAGCACAATTTGAGATAAAGTTAAAAAATGCTGCAACGTTAAGTCATTTGCTGGCAGTTGGACGTCATAATTTAACCTGAGTGACATTAACTTTGAAGGGAATGTTAGAGCGTATATTTAAGAATTTAATTTACAATATAACTTCTCAAGCAGCCTGAAAAGATAAACTGTAGAGTGGAACTCGAGAAACGAAATTACTTTCGAGTGAGGAAAAGTTTGAAAACAGTAATAAACGGCGAACGACACCCGAGTGCTCTAAGCTATTCGTTGATGCTGTTTATTTAACCTAGAACCGCTAGACAGTTTTGGACAGCCCAACGTGGACATGTGGAATAATTTCCTCGTTGACCAGACGTTATTGCTTCAGCAAGCCAAAAACTGACTGATTTCCACGTGAATTCTGCAGTATTCACGGTAAAATTGATGAAGGAAAGTTCGTTACACCGCGAGGAGCTTCTCTATATAAAATCTATAAAGACCAAACTGAGCCTACAGGGGTTACGAGAGCTTCTCCTTCAACCTATGCGACGTCCACGACTATTACAAAAGACTGCTGCAGAGAAGGTGAGCCTGTTCATAAACATTAATTAACGAGGAGCAACGATAGATGACACGATAGGTGACACACAATACGGGTGGCACAGACTAGCACTGCATCAATATACAAATAAAAAATCATGCTCCTACTCACTAGGAAAAGAAACATTTTCACTCATGTCAGTTCAATGTGAATCATGCCATTTCATTTCTGTGTTTTCCGATACAGATATTTTGTTTTCACACAGAGGTAAACTAACATGTATTCTTAAGGCAGCCTTCTATAGAAACCGATGTACAAACAAATGCATCATTCAATCTTTGGTGGTTTCAAGACATAGAAAAAAAGAAAGTTTTGTTTAGCCATATCTTTTTAGTTTTGCTTGTCAGATGACTGGCTGGTTTCTAGGTACTTTTAGTTTTTATTCCTTTCAAAATAGATTACTTGAGAGTTAACACTCGCTTGTCGCTTTCTTCATCTCTATTTTTGTGTGCTAAAATACTATATTATGCGGAAGAGCTTTATTCGAGAGGAGCTCGAGCTGTCACACACTGATGATGATATATACAGATGAGGAAATCATACAAATGTTGATGACACGTCCAATCAATAAAGAAGAGTCGGTGACTGCGCTCACACATTCCCCGTCACGCTGGCAGTGGTCTCCTGGCCGAGCGAAAGACAATAGTAGGAATTGCATTGGGTTTACAGTTTCAGTCGAGAAACGTGCAAAATTTCTGTCCCACGGCCACGGTGGTCGGAGGGAGCGTTAAGCGGTGAGATACAGTAATTAACAGAGGACGTTTGTTAAATCACCGTATAAGGTCCTATAAAACGACTGAGAAATTTTCCACTTAAGCAGAGCACACGCACGGGAGTCCAGAGAAGAACTTGGAATCCTAGGGAAAAGGTGACAGCACGATGTGTTGAGTCGTAGCGAGCTTCCTGAGAGGTGTCGGTGTTGATTCGGGCAAGAAGACGGCAGTGCTCGAGTCTAGAAAAACATTGCGCGGATAAAGGGTCTGCTCAGATGGCAGAAGCCTAAAGGAAGGAGACGTCTAGAGTTACATTTGGAGAGCAGCCATGAACGCGAAAATAGGGAGAAAAGCCGGTGGTGCCTTGCGTAGCCGTATTGTAGGCGAACGTTACAAATGGCAAAATGGCGTCCTAGTTTGTGTGGTCAGGTTTAACGCAGATGGCAACCATGTCCGAGAAGGTACGATGAAAGCGTTTCGTCAAGCCATTCGTTTGTGGATGATAAGTAGAAGTTGTCTTGTGGATGGAGTTGGCGGCACGTAGAACTTGAGCAACAATAAAGGAAAGAAAGACCTTGCCGCGTTCTCTGAGCAGAACACTTGGAGCTCTATGGCGCAATAATATGTAACGCAGAAAAAAATCGTTTACTTCAGTGACTGTACCAGCGCGCATTGAGGCTGTTTCCGCGTAACGAGTGAGGTGGTCAACAGCCATTACAATCTAATGATTTCCATTGGAGGTCACGGGAAGGGGGTTATCACGCTGCAGTTGGACGGCACCGAGACCATGGTCACTGGCGTCAGTGTGAAGAATTGTGGGTGCACCTGGATTGAAGTGACATATTACCGGGTCGGATGTTAGGGCTTGCTTCAACGCCAGGAAAGCCTTTTCAGAGTCTTCAGACCAGACGCATGCCATGTTACTTGCGAGCAGTTGATGGAGGGGAGAGGCAAGCCGTGCGAAATGGCGTACGAAGCGCCGAAAGTAGGATGTCAAGCCGAGAAATCTGCGCAGGTCTTTTTAATGCAATAGACGGGGAAACACGAGGACGGTGGCAATCTTTTCAGGATCCGGTCGAATACCATCTCTGCTGACTAAGTGCCCTAGAAACTTGATCGCCTTGCTTGCGAAGGTGCGTTTTTTCGTATTCGGCTGTAAACAAGCTTTTGCAAGGCAACGTAGTAATTCTTCAAGGCGTTGCAGATGTTGCGAAAAGGTAGACGAAAATACTATAATGTCACCGAGGTAGCATAAGCAGGTTTTCTACTTCAGGCCATGCAGTACGCTATCGATTATACGTTCGAAGGTAGCAGGCGCGTTACAAAGTTCAAAAAGCATTACGTTAAATTCATATAGCCCATCTTGGGTGGTAAAAGCGGTCTTCTCTTTGTCAAATTCGGACAGTGATATTTGCCAGTAGCCTGATCGCAGGTCAAGGCTGAAAAAATACTCTGCGCCATGCTACGAATCTAGTGCATCATCGATTCTTGGGAGAGGATAAACATGTTTGCGCGTTATTTTGTTCAGTGCCCAGTAATTAACGCAAAAACGTACTGTCTTTTGCAAACGTCTTTTGCACAAAAACAACTGACAAAGACCACGGACTCGAGGAAGGACGTATGATATTCCGTCGAAGCATGTCTGAGACGTTTTCTTCGATTATCTTCCTTTCTGCAAGAGACACGTAGTATGGGCGCTGGTGTATAATTCAGGAGCCGTCATTCTGAATTCGGAGAGTCGCCGAAGTTGTCATACCAAGGAAGCAGGAAGGAACGTCAAAGAAAGAGAGATGTCTGTTTAATGAATTCAGCAATTCTTGACTCGGGGCTGCTGTCAGATCAGGGCTTATCGTCAACGATAGAGGAGTGGGTGACTTGAGTGGTGGCGCGCTTGGCTCTGGTAGGTCTTCTTGACTTGGAGGGGCAACAATTGAAATGGGATATGGGTCAATAGCGCAAGTGACTGTTGATCCACAGGGCAACAATAAGGGCTCGGGGGTCTGATTTAACGGAGTAATAAAAGCAAACCCTTCAGAAAAACGAACAAGGCCTGGAATGATCAGAATGTCTCAATGTACCATGTGGCCATAAGGTAGTAGAAGCACGTCGCCATCCACAATGTTGATGCAATGAACGTTAATTACTTCTTGGGATGGCCAAAAAACATAATCTGAAGTAGTGTCGAGACGAATGCGCTCTTTGTGTTCCGATACAGAAGAGTCGGTGGGACTGAGGTGGATGAGACGCTGACGACAAGATATAGAAGCGCGTGCGGACGACAGAAAATTTCGCTGTGGCCTCCGCGATCGGCTGCCGGCGGCGCGCGCCGCCGGCAGCCGATCGTTTACTCCAAAATGAGTTCGTGGGTGCACTCACAGAGAACTGCAACAGCAATATGATGACGAATACTGTTTATGAAAGCACGAACTGTACACTGGGCGAGTGGGTGAGTAATGGCGTTCGTCGCAGCACGGAGAGATGGGCCCGAGTAAGTGTTGTGACTTTGCGGAGACGGGAGCAAAGGTCAGAGCAAATAATCGAAATAGCAGTGCCAGTATCCACTAGAGTTTTGGCACGTATACCTTCTACTAATACTTTTAACAAGTTAAATGATCTGTCTGGAGAAATTTCTGGCTGTTCGGTGGATGAAGTTTCCCCTCCTAAAACTGCATTTGGGAGTTTCCCGAGTTGGCAATCAGAACATTAGCGGCGGGTCGCAGAGGTGACACGGAACGGCGATTGGGAGATGATGAGCGGCGGCGAGAGTCACGGGAGCTCACAGGTAGACCCATACTGTAAGGTGGAGAGGGCGAACGCTGAAACGAAAACTGGTATGGCGTGCGCTGGTAGTATGTGAGTCGACTGAAGCGTCTGCGTTCCTATGGAGCGTAGCCACGTTGCTCGTCGTGTTGGCGCCTTCGGCAAAAGCGAGACATATTACCCCTATAGCCGCAATAATAACAGATTGGGCGTGGGGGACGCGACATGGTGCAATACGGCTGTGGGCGCATCGGTGGTGACACTGACGCCACAGGTACATGGCCGCCTGGTGTAGTCGCTAGGATAGCGGTGGGTGCTGAGAGCGCCGCAACGTCTGCGTACGTTGGTACCTGACGAGGTCCGGATTCGGCGGAACAAGGTGGATGTGACGCAGATGCCAGATCTTGCCTAATGATTTCCCGCAAGTTCGTTGGTTGGAGCTGAGGCTAAAGTAGATGATGGAGCGCAGGAAGAGCAGCACCCATGGAGGTCCTCACGAACGATGTCACGGACCAGGGAACGGATGTCGAGGGCTGCGGGAAGACGAATGTCGGAGGCATCATGGCAAAGACGAAGAGACTGAAGTTCTTCTAGTCTCTGGCAAATTGTGATGACATCTTGAGTCGTGATAGGGTTTTGCGACGCAAGGGCGTTGAATGCAACGGTATTTGTGCCTTTGATAATATGGCATATTTGGTCACTTTGAGAAATAGCTGAGTTCACACGCTTGCACAAGGCAAGAACATCCTCAATGTATGAGGTGCATGAATCACCCGCCAGTTGAATGCGTCCAGCAGGCTTCTTCGTTGCTGCTTCAGCGCGAACACTGCGTAACCAAAAATCTAACGAAGCTGCCTGGCGAACGTGTCCAAGTCGGGAAGATCTTGAAGGTAGTTCCAAAATTAGGTTTCAGCAATATCAGTTAGGTAGAAAGAGACCGTACTTAAATTGTGTAGAGTATCCCACCTATTAAACTAGCTGACAAGGTCGTAGGGGTGTAGCCATTCTTCAATGTCATCCCCTTTGAGACGCGAGAATACTGGTGGATCGCGCTGGTGACTGTGGATGGCCAGGGTCGATGACGGAGGCTGCACTGGGCTGGCATTGTTGGATGGACCAGAATTGCCTTGCACTGTCATGGCAGGTGGTAGTAGATGACGACCCCAGCGGAGCTCCAGTGGTAACGTGCGAGAGGACTTGGGGATCTAGAAGCACCGTCCACCACTTATGAGGAAGATCTTTATTCGAGACGAGCTTGACCTGGCACTCACTGATGATGATATCTACAGATGAGGAAATTATACAAATGATGATGACTTGTCCAATTGATAAAGAAAAGTCGGTGACTGCGCTGACAATTCTTTTGATGAAGAATGAATGATGGTCTGCTGTGGCCTCAGCGAGCGCGAAGAAGTGCGTGCATCAAGAATATCACATCTAGGGTTCGTTTGTCATCATAAAAGGCGTTATATTCGTTGTCTAGTGGCTCCGCTTTTCTGGCGGCACTTCACCTAAGGAAGGCCGGCGCTCTATGGCAAACGGTGTCGAAAACCCAAGGAACAATGAGCGGCTCCCTATGAACTCGACAAAGAGTGACGGCAACCAGCAGTTTTTACTAAAACCGCTGCCGCAGCAACCTCACCCTCATCGAACCCGCACCCAGGAAAGCAAAGAGCAGAACCGGCCACCTTACGAGCAAGCAAGCCCTGATATAAAGGACATAGATCCCCTGAAGGCTACACGTGGTGCTAGACGAACGCAGTTAATGAAGGTGATAAATCAGGTGACAGCACAGTTGGAGAGGGACAGCAACGACCGAACGGCGTTCAGCATGATCATAGATAACAAGCTCGTCGCAAGCAGTGATGAGCTTCAGATGGTCAATGCTGAAATCAAGGCCGTGATTATTGTCTAAGAACTGGAAAAGGAAACAAATCTGCGGTTTAATATCACGATCAGGCCCTAACGCGCTTGTGGTGCCGTCTTGAAGAACTCAGCCTCAGAAATGTGCAGGACTCTATTTGGACGACGGTGAACACGTCGCCTGTCCTAACCAAGCCTGCGTCCCACAATTTCGGACCGCACCTCCTCATGCTGACGATCAACCAGTTTCATGGGGACGTGTGTCGATGGACATTGTTTTGAAAGCGTTTCAATGCATTGGTTCACACGAACCCATCTATGAGCACGACGAATAAATTTCATTACCTTCGCAACTACCTGGTAGGTGAAGCCGAAGCTGTGATTGCCGGGCTACGAACGACGAAAGCGTAGAATGAAAGTGCCAGCCAGCTGTTGAAGCAGAGGTTGAGGAACAAGAGCTGGATTGTACAGCAACACTTCAGAGCATTTTGGGAACTGCAGCCAGTGACGTCTTCATGGGATATCAAAAGGTTGCGAAAGCTTTAAGAGGCAGTCCAGGTAAATGTCCGCTGCTTCAACGTTTTAGACGTCTCATAAAGTAGTTTGTCGACGATGCTCGTCGACATCATGCTTCAAGCCTTGCCCAATAATATTGCTACATGCATGCTTATTGATTCGTTGGTTGTTCCTCAGAACCCTGGCGCAACCCAACACGGGGGATCCGGTGGTCGGTGGTCGACACTAGTCGGTAGCCTCCGGTGGTCGGCACTGACTATGTCACTTACGTCATTCGCCTTGTTGCTGTATAGACTGGGCCTTGGTTGGTCCCTTTGTCGATGACATCTCCTGGGGACGACATTGGCTGTGTCGTACTGTTTGAAGTTTCCTGCACTGACGTGCTTTAGCGTCAAGTTTACTTTGTGATGTTTCTGGCGAGCGGCCCTATGATGCAGTGCTTGTCGCACACCTAGCAGACCCTTCGTCGTGGTAATCTGGCATTGGTTCACATTTGTGTTTTCGGTTAGCAAACACGTTCGCAGCAGAAATATATATATATATATATATATATATATATATATATATATATATATATATATATATATATTCTTCACCTGGCGCCCTGTCTAATAAGACATTCGTTCAAGGTGAAATTTTCTTGTATTGTCAGTTTTCTGATCACGCTGTAGAAGGTATGAACATTCGGACGTAACACACAACGGACAACTTCGCATTCGCAAATAATTAGTGGAACTTCAGTTTCTCAAAATCGTCGTAACACTAACAATCATAAGATGGATAAATAAATTTAATGTAATTTATGATAACATAGACGTTCAAGGTGTAGAGAAGTAAATAAATAATAAAGGTTAAAATTGGCCAGACAATACGACTCGTTTATAACCACACCTCTTTCGCTGTGGTACATATAAGAATGAAAATTTTCGTGGCTAACGCTATCGCTTTGCATTCCTACGTTTTCTCATCTACTTTCTACTTCAACACAGTGCAATGTAGTTGATAATTTTACGCATGTATTTAACATCAGTAAAAGTCTCCCATGAAGCGGGAGATCCACTGTTTCATTTTCACACTGATCATAACAGCCGTGGTCTTGTAATTTATTGTATATGCAAAACAAAAGAGAGCCTTTGATCTCAACATTGAAATCTGAAAACTATGCGGCATTAAGAACAGTGCGAACATGCCATTGAAACTTACCGTGTTCTGAAACACCACGTGACAGAAGTAGACATCCGCTATCTGCCCTTAAAACAAGGAAGTCACGAAATATGTCATTTGATGCGTCTGCTGTTGGAACAACTGCAAAAAAATAAATTAGAAACACGCTGCAAAATCTGACTATGGCCTAACTACGTAAAAATAATAATTCTTATTGTCGATTGCTTTAGTGTCACACGTAAGCCTGCTAGTTCATGGAAACTATAGGATTTGGTGTCTGATTAGACAAACATATCAATAGCAATTTTTCCATTGGTTAATTTATGTGAAAGCAGTTCATCAAGCTCACAAGAGTGTGAGAAGTTACTGGATGTAACAAGCCTCAATCAGACATGTCCACCGTTAACGTTCGCCAAAAAACCTCGAAGCTGGCGGCAGACATCGTTTTACACAGCAAGTCACAGCAATACTTACTGTCACCACTGTGCCTCGTCATCCAAAAGCTTGGTATTTCGACCATCTGAGGTAACGGAAACACATGTGCAGCATTCACCACAGCCAATCGAGCTACCAGGTAGAGAAAAGTATACACACCTGTGCGCTGTGCCGTGATTAAGAATGTGTTGGCGTTCAAGAAATATGCAATGTTTATTTTTGCGTTTCGCACTTTGAGTTCGTCGTGTATTTCAAGATGGTTTTGGACGCAGGCATTAAAGAGGCAACATGCAGCAAAAACGTCTTGGTTGAAAAATATTTTGTTTGAATCAAGCAATATCAAGCTCCGACAGGCTTTGCAGCTCGTGGGATATCGCATGCTCGGGCTTGGGTGATATCGTTTAGCTTGGCCTTGCTAAACGATATCACCCAAGCCCGAGCATGCAATATACAACGAGCTGCAAAGCCTGTCGGAGCTCGAGAGACCAACCTAGAACTGTTTAGGCACCTTCTCTTAGCTTTAAACGAGGTTGAAACATTACCAGCTGGCCAAAAGAGTATTTCTGCTCCCTCATGTGATAACCTCCGAAGCAGAGTCGCCTGCCCACCACATGCTTGAAATCAGGACACACTACAGTATACATAATTTCCCACCTAATTGCCCAAAAGACTTGATAATACATGTCCAAGTTCTGCCTCAACATTTACTTTAGATCAAATGTTCTGGCACTCCCTCTATTGCAGTGTTCTTTGCGCACAACCGAATAGGAATGCAGCTGCGTGCTCATAAACTTCAAACTTATGCATCAAATCGGGGACGTTCATAAAACCAGCTACAAGGCTATGAGGATCAATGCACACGTCCCGAGGTGAGAGCAGCCAGCTGCTTTACCGGCTCCAGCGTTAGAGCTTTTCATAATCTTAGTAACAATATGTCATGTGTCATTACATATTGCTCTAGATAAGACAGCTTTGAAGTAATGTTTTTTAATTACATTCCACGTTGAGTTTACAATAAGAACTTTGAACGCTCCACTTAAGCTATTTTAGGAGGTACAACGCTGTGCTTTGAGCCTCGCAGCGGCGTTCTAGCGGCTAAGGTACTCGGCTGCTTACCCGCAGGTCACGGGATTGAATCCCGGCTGCGGCGGCTGCATTTCCGATGAAGGCGGAAATGTTGTAGGCCCGTGTGCTCAGATTTGGGTGCACGCTGAAGAACCCCAGATGGTCGAATATTCCGGAGCCCTCCACTACAGCGTCTTTTCATAATCATATCATAGGTTTGGGACGTTAAAACCCACAAATCAATCAACACTGTAGTTTGAGTTGAAATGCACAAAAAAATTTGGAGATCCCACCTACAAGGGGCATCGATGATATGTGAAGCACGTATGAGAAAGGTCAATATATCACTTTAAAATCAACCCTACGTTATGAGGTGGGGGAAAATGATACCGTACATGACTTCCGTGTCATGATTATTACGTTTGGATGTGTCGTTCACCTTCGTCATCTATTCACGCCACGAAATACCAAATTTAGTATATGTGGAGCTTGCGAAAGGACCGCGAGCACACTTTGTGCGTGGTATGCCATGTTCTTACATGACACGCATGTAATGATTATCATGTTTGCACCAGTCATATACTTTCGTCATCCATTGATGTCACGCAACACAAAATTGGTATACGTGGAGCTAGCAAAACGGTCGTGAGCGCATCATGGAGGGCCTAATATACTGCAATGTAGCGTTGATTCGCGTGCACGTTGGGCACAGAGAGGCTACTTTAGCAGAGCGCGAGCACTTATAGCTAGGCGCTACCAGCGTCCGTCGTTGCGCTCGACGACAACCAGTGCTAAATGCGTCATGCTGCATTTCGCGCCGATGCGTTACCCACACAACACTGCGCCTCCCTCTTTTCATCACGGAGAGACACCCGACGCGCTGAAACACGCATGCGTCAAAGCAACGCAGCGCGGCGCGTGCCTTCGAGTATATAGCAGGACCGGTGCCTGGCGTTGCTACGCCGGCGTGACCCGACGAAATGAACACCGGTGATAACGCGCACCGCGTCACGTCGACATGTATTGGCGCCTTGACTGCGGCATGTAGTCATTTTCTCACATGGCACGCATCTCATTATTATGTTGTTTGCAGCAGTCTCATACATTCGTCATTCCATTACCGTGGCCTAATACCGAATTTAGCGTATGTGAAGCTAGCGAAACAGCCGCGGACGTATGATGAGCGTGGCATGTTGTCTCGTCCTACATGACACGCACCTGAAGATCATCATGTTTACACCAGTCACATACATTCGTCATTCATTGGCGGCCCGTAACACCATATTTGGTATAAGCGAAGCTAGCGAAACGGCCGAGAGCGCATCTTGAGCGTGGCATGTAGCCAAGTTGTTACATGACACGCATCTGATGATTTTCATGTTAAGTTCTGTAGCTTGTGTTCATCATGCTGTCATGTCATAACATGCTAGCGTTGCATCATGTCATGTGAACGAAACTACCGCAAGAGCAGCAAGACCATGAAATGTAAATCATGATATTTGTGACAAACATATCATGAGTTTTATGTTATGACGGGACAGTATGCTCGCCATACTGTCATGTTATTGCATAGAAAGTTTATTATTGATACCAATATTCAAATGGCCAGGAGAGCTAAAAGTCGTAAGCGGCTAGATAGATAGATAGATAAATAAATAGATAGATAGATAGATATATAGATAGATAGATAGATAGATAGATAGATAGATAGATAGATAGATAGATAGATAGATAGATAGATAGATAGATAGATAGATAGATAGATAGATAGATAGATAGATAGATAGATAGATAGATAGATAGATGTATAGGCTCAAGGTTGCCGAAGTTTGCTTAGAAATGCTTCGCATTGTTTTAGCTCTGTGAATCACAGTATCTTTTAAATGCTTCGCATTTAGAACACACCGTGATTCACAGATCCGGAACACACGTAAAATTAAAGACACTCGGCATTTGACACAGAAAATGTCGATAGCAAACCGTGCACGCGAAACAATACAGTTGTAAAAAAGCTTTGTTAAAATATTAAAGTTTTAACTCGTAGCAAAGCTTAAGGATTGCAAGACTACTCGCGCAAACTCATCTCGCAGAATTTCATTGATTTTGAGTTGTGATACAAGAAAAGTATTTCTTTCTAAACTGTTGAACACCTTACCAGTTGTAAAAGATCATATAACGTCACAACCAAATACTTGATGTACATTGAATGGTACACATGAGCACTATTTTGCATGGGAAGCATTCAAGGGGTACTACGGCATGCCAAGTGGATAGCATAAATTAATTTGCGCTTGAAAATATTCTATAAATAATTACTTGTGGAATATTTGCGCACTGTTATCACTTTTCAAAAAAAATGAGTGCCTTGCACGCTCAAGCTAAACAGTCCCAATCCGTTCTTCGAGCAATTTCCAGCTACACATGCGGGTGGCTTGTCATGAATGTGCATTTCGTTTGACAATTTTATAGGTTTCAATGTGCGGAACCGTTAGCTAGCAGAATTTTTCTTAGCACAATTTGTTTTCACGAAGTAGAACAGTGGGCAGTATTTCTAAGTACTTTTTCAAGCAGAAATAGGAGCCTCAAGGAAGGTTGGTAATTCCGTTTATGTAGTTACGTTGTTGTTGAAGCAATACTTATGTTATCATTCATCTCCTTTTTACCGATAGATTTTATTTTATAGCCTTATCCTAAAGTTTTAATATAAATATCATGGCTATTACCATAATTGAAAATGTGTGTTTCGCGTTATCTTAAGAAAAATATATTATATAATAAACAAGTGCATGCTCAAAGTTGCGCAAAAGTCTAAATATATTATAAAAATGAAAGAAAAGAAATGTTGCATACGTCCTTGTATAGCCCTAACGGAGATACTTATTCCATTGCTGCTCGTAACTGCTTCAAAGTCGGCGTTGTCTCCACTGCAAATATAAATATGAAAAGTTTTATAAAACCACCTTCCTACCATTTTATAACTAAGAATGAAGCAGGTATTTAGTTTTTTCTTGGTATAAAAGATCAATTCTTATGTTCAGTACCTTAGTTGCTTGCACTTCAACGATGGTCTGTGATCTTGAGAAAAACCGTATGACGCACAGAAATATATGTCTTGAAAACAAGAATATCCCGAACACAACAGATTTCTTGAGCCTGAAGTTAGCTTTTTTATTATTTAAAACAGATAAGTATTTCACGTCTACTTTCTAAATATTTTTACCTCAACGTTACAATGCAATTTTTTTATAGAATGTCTGTGTTCGTGAAAGTTGTAACATAGATTTTTATTCAATTTTATTTCGTGTTTTGCTATAGTGCGAACATCCACACGTTTTTTTTTTTGCATTATTTACACGTCCGTAACACTGGGAACACCGACAATAATAAATATGTCTGAAGCTATTGTTAGCAGTGTTCAATAAATTGCAGCTCCAGGTCAAACAAAGCAAGAAGAAGCGCCTCCTTCTACAAGGAAGTTTGGCCTCACGGGCACTTACTGCCAAGAATCGACCAAGAAGCTTGAAAATAAATATCGTTCGCGATGTTTAAGCCTTGCCTCTTGGCAGTGAACTGTATGCCATTTTAAACAGAATGGTGCCGAATATCTGGGAAATACTACGAGGGACCACGGTAGATTACGTAAGGCTACGAGTGAACTGAACACCATGGAGAGGCTGAAACCAAAGCAAACGTCGAGAGGATCTTTCAACACCAAGATTATCATCAAGGCAAGATCTCTTATCAGCGATGTGATAGCCACCATAAATCAGCTCAGAGCCCTATACGGACGCTTGAAGGCAAACAATGATAGCTCAACCGAATCAACGAGGAGTTGGAGAGCCACATACTAGATAAATAGCTTAAGGAAGAGTACAACATCGTCCTTCAATACGAACGCAGAGCGTCGTGAGTGAGCTTCTCAGCTAGCGCGACCGCATTGTGGCGGCCACGTCATCAGCACTGGAGCTTTATACTACGGCGGTAGCCAGTACTGCTGAAGTTTCTGGTGCCAAGCTTCCCAAGTCTACCATCGCCCCCATTTTCTAGTGGTCTGTGCCAGTAAAGCGACTTTTGGGAGCAATTTGACCAGATGATTCACCGGAACGAAAGCATCAAGGCAACAGACAAGTTCAACTACGTGCGTTTCTTCCTAAGAGACGAAGCAGCATTAGCTATTGTGTGCCTGCCAACTACAGAAGCTTGCTACAAGGATGCCAACGACATACTCAAGCAACGCTACAGTGACTGAACTAGACTCGAGCAGGAGTACTTCGGGCTTTGTACCTTGCCTTTAGTCCGTTCAAGTGACCTGTCGGCTCTACGCAAGCTGTATGATCTGGTCATCATCAGCATAAAAGGACTGGAGACCCTTGGGGTGAGCGAGATGACTTTTAGGCAATGCTGTGCGACATATTCCTGCGGACTTTACCATAAGATCTCGTTGTACAGCACCAAAAGTCAGGCGCCAATCGGGCGACAAGCTACAGCAGTAATGCAGCCTGTATTACGGAGCTCGAACGCCTGTCAAGTTTCTTGTCTATTGAAGTGAAGAGCTTAGAGAAGAGTGAGTTCGCTAACCATCGTGGAAAAGACACTCATAATGAGAAGGCGTAGAACAAAGCACGCTAGTCTCGCAGCTCGAAACTCACGTCCTCAGTTCTCTATAACAGCACAAAGAAAGAACTTGAGAGCTGTGTGTTTTGAAAATCGAGTCAACATTCTAAGGAAGAGTGCTTGCTGGATCTCCTGCTACGGGAAAAGAGCGCATTTTATCAGGAGACATGAGGTGCTTTCGATGCACGACGAAAGCTCACAGGGCGTGTGATTGCAGGCGCAAGATTACGTGCTCTACCTGTCAAGGTCGTCATCCGACAAGCATGTCTGATCCGATGAAAGTAAGCTAGAAGACACGAGACACCGGCAGGACAAATACCAGAACACTGGTAAATCAGCCAAGCACTAACACGGCTGTATGTGCCTCTCTAGAGAAGAATCGACATACCCTCAAAAGTTCATCGACGAGTGTCCTTCAGACGTTTCGGGCCTCGGCCGTAACAGATGTTACATGTCGGTATGTCAGAGGTGTCACAGAGGGAGGAATTAAGCGAACATTCAACACAAAGATGCTATCAAAGCAGTTGAATATCCATGTATGGAATCCACCATCATTGCGCTCAACACCTTCGAAAGCAAGTCGAGCATTGCGAAGGCAGCGTGTCGTTCAACTCCGTTTGAAGAGCTCGTTTTCATGCATTGAAGTTGCCTTGAAAGCCGTAGAAATTCCGTACACATGCCAAAATATTGGAGCAAGTACAACAAGTTCACGAATAATCGCGGAAATACAGAGAGCTTGAAAAGACATCATTTATTAACTACCATACGAATTCGTTGTCTGGGAAAAAACCATAAGTGTTCTCATCGGTTGCGAACAAACTTGGACGGGGATGACAGGAGAGGTCACTCCATGCGCAGACGATGACACGCTTATTGCTATGAACCAGAAGTTGACGTGGATGTTTCAAGGCAACACAAGCATGGCATCGGACGTTACATACTCATGGATTATGGTCAGCGTATTGAAAACCAGTGTACAAAAGAGCGACGAAATCCTTCGTTCGTTTTGGGAACTCGAGAGCATTGGAATAACAGACGCCGTCGTCAGTGAGAACAAGCTCAACCAAGCACTCCAGCAGTCTGAACAGACCGTCCGCATTAGGAGTGGAAGATACTAGGTGACGCTGCCCTGGACAAAAGACGTAGAGCTCTGGGACAACAAACAAGTGGCTATGACAAGACTTTGGAAACTTCTTTCCCTACTGTCGAATAAGCAAGGACACTTCGAGACGTATGACACAACGATACGGGAGTACCTACGAGCTGGGCATGCAGAATTTGTCGACGGGCCACCCCTGGATTCGTAAAACGCTTGTTATATGCCGCATGGAGAAGTGGTTTCAGAGCCCGCGCACACCACGAGGGTCTGAATCGCTCGCGACGCTTTCTCTCACGTAAAAGGGTGCTTTCCATTGATTGAGTGCTTGGATATGGGTAACAAGCTGTACCAGGATCTCTAGAAAGTATTTTACGCTTCAGAACGCACTGTATAGCTCTTTTTGGGACATTTAAAAGGCATTCCCTATCGATAAAAAACAAATCGTGGGCATGGTGTAAACCACCACCCACCATTATAGTGGATTAATGCAGTGGGTGAATGGTGGGAAACGCCCATCATGGCGCATGGTGGGTATAGTGGGTGCTGCAGTGCCAGCAACGCTTGAGAGCGAAATGGCGTCAAAATCACCTTGACGAGCTGCCACAAAAAATGAAAAAAATCTATAAAAACGGTGTAAAAAACAACCGTCCCGTAAAAAAAAATCAAGGCGCCACGGATGATCGAACGTGCAACCTGCGGATTAACATTCGAAGACAATAACCACTGCGCCACACCAACACGACCTCTTTTGTGTGTTAAATACTTAGTTGGCATACAAACTTACGGTTCAACTTAAGTTATGTTTGTCGTGTACACAACATAGACAAGATCTACACCTGCTACTAAAAATTGCACATTTATAAACACAAGCAACTGCAGCCTGTAACGATTGCCACTATATTAATGGCACCAGTGCTATTTTTTTACAGTTCACAACTTCAGGAAAAAAAAACCAAGTGGCCTGTGGAGCAGCAACAGTTTACCGACGGGGTCTGCCAAGTTTAATATTTGTTTCGCGCTCGTTCTAAAGGGCGACATCTTCTCACGCTTTATGACGCTTCTAGGCTCATTCTATAAATACGCCCGCCTAATTTATTTCATTGAGTATTGGGATGCTTTTCGCGCATAGTAGAGGGCAGTCGTGCCAGCGCAATGCTGGATCTCTTTCGCTAAAGCAACAACTACATAACGCTTTGGCCAACACGAATGCAGTGTGCCGTAAGCATTACGCTATCATATTGGTTCACCAAGCATACGAATTGCCACGTCTGAGTTCTCGTACAAAAGCCAGAGGAGTGCCGGCGAGTGCGACCGGCGGCGGTCGGTGAGAAGACACGTTCTCTGGGAGTGCTTTAATCGCGTCGCATCGATGTTTGTTGCTTCTTGGGCGGACACCATACACAATGAAAAATGCTTCATTTAGGTTAATTGATGCCATGGCTGTGCTGTATTGTCATACCTAATTGTCGAAATAGTGTATTCTGAAACCCGAAAGCACGGATAACACAATTGTACGGGCTCGGTCGGAAGGCCCAACCTTTGGTGGAAATCATGGTGGTAGAACATGTAGTGTACAGATCTCAGCTTGGTACACTATATAAATTGCCCGCCATTATAAGCCCACCCATCATCTGCTTACTGCTTCCCAGCATTATCGCGATGGTGGCAGAGCTTCTCAGCTTGGTACACCATGTGTCCACCATAACAAGCAGCACCCATCATCTGCTTAGTGCTTCCCAACATTATCGAAATGGTGGGAAGAGTTTCTCAGCTTGGTACACCATGTAGCCCACCATAATAAGCACCACCCACCATATGCTTAGGGCTTCCCAGCATTATCACAATGATGGGCAGAGTGTCCCATTATTGCCCACTATCTAGCCTCTGCTTTCCACCATCATTTCCACTTTACCCATCCTCTGTACACCATACCACCCAGTATGTCCTGGCATATCCACCATAGTTTTCACTACGTTCCACCATATCCATCATAATTTCCACCATGCCCATTATTAATTCCACCATGCCCACTATTTTTTCCACTACGCCCACCATGTTTTCCAGTATGCACCATGGCAATTTTTCCCATAGGGTTCTTTCTCTGAGAATGACATACACTCAAGCCAAAATTATCCGAGAAAGGAGTAACGGAGCCCAATGGGCACGCGCGTTGAACAAATAGACCGTCGAGGAACAACCACAGAGGGAAGC